ATTGGCCCATATCTTACAATATAAATAAATTACCCTATGTGTATGCTAAACACACAAGGGATATTTTCTCCCAATCTTCTCTATTTCTCATACAAAGCATAAGCTTGATATATCTTGAAGGCCTATTATTTACAAGCCTATTTATAGTATGGTCTGAGTAAGCCAACCTCTAAAATGAGACTAAACTTACATGTAAGGTAAGTGACTAAATCTCTTAAATTAAGCCCATAATTTCAAAACATTATAGTAAAAAATTAATAACTTCATAAACTTTTTTGCATGGTCAAAAGTAAATAGGTTTTTGAAAAACTCCAGGCTTAACATGGTATGCTTGGAGTGTACAGGGCCATAGGCCAATTAACAACTTGACCTGTTTTCATTCCCAATGGAACTCACCATAAATACTTGCTACATGAATACCGAGGCCTAATGAAAACCCAAGCCTCTCAAGGTATTCAATCATCTGCCAGCTTATATTGATAAAGGAACTTTGATAGTCAAACCTCTCATGACATGCTTTCCCTTGGTAGTCTTTTCAAGTGTACTATATATGATTATTCTCATGGTACTTTTGAAACTTCCTATTCACAATGACCATCATACGACATCTAATATCAAGGGTGGCAACTTGATACCTTTTACGAGCATATCTTTGTCAGCTCTAATAAGGGCATTTGAAGTAGATACTTTGGGAATAGGCCATTCTAGGACATATAACTTTTTCTGACTGTCAGAGATATGATATGATTTAATACAGACGTCTTACCAAATATTTTCCTTTATTAGATATTGATTTTGTTCCTTATTACTGGATATTTTCTTCATTTTAAATAAAAATACTCATATATGTATATAACTCGGAATTCATTGTATTCCTTCTCGGTCTCTCTTCCTTGAGTGTACCATCCTCCATGACCTGTTTTGTCACTAATCCTTTCAACAATCACATCTAAGGACAATCTTAAGATTTATGTATCATTCTAGGAAATTTGTTCAAGACAAATTGTTGTTCTCAAGGAGTGATTACAATGACAAATTATTAGAATTGCGTGGCCAAGGTAATCTATCAACAAAAAGCATGCATAAGTTGTCCTATAATCATATTTAATTAGGTCTTCTATTAAATGTATCTCCCATAATTTTGATTCAGATCAATGACCCTCAACATTGATTTGGAGAAATCCTATTGATTGATTTCTTTAGTGGGTCAAGATCCATATTTCGTCAAATATTAGTCCAACTCTAGTTGATCACTTATGAGTAGGCTATTTAGGTCTAAAACAATTTTCAATTGTATCATATACAACTATTGAATGGTTATGTGCATAATTAGTATTCTAATTCAAATTATGAGCTAAAGTCAGTCAAAAGTAATACTAGTTTTTAATCTTGTTGAATTTAACCAAGTTAAGTCAATGTTGGGGAGAACCACTCTTACGGCTGGGCACAGCTCCAAGAGGAGTTTCATATCATGTGGTCACCAGAGAAAAACGGAGGAGGTTGGAGAAATTAGGTAGTGGTGGAAATCACTTACTCGCCAGACAAGACAGGCAAAGTGGGATCAACTTGCTTTGGCACCAACTTAAAGAGAAAGAGTTTGAGAGATCTTATCTTAGATCTGTCTACTTATTCAAATTCATATATTTATAAGGATCGGTTGCTTACAACAAAAGCTTAAGAGGATATTGACGATGATATTGAAGTCTACATTAGATCTATTGTTGGGCCACCTACATTGCTGCGCTCCAAGCCCATAATACTATGTGTGAAGGGATTGTCTTGGAAAAGTCCCATAATAGTGGACCTATGGTCACACCCAGCCTGCCTTAATTGCAACCTTGATGGGTTTGCTTAGTCTCACAACTCACTTTGCGAGCCAACTTAGTGAATTAAATTACCCCCAATGTCCAAATTCTAGGTTAATCAATGTCAAACCAACTAACCAAAGACAACTAAGGATGTGATAGGCCTATAAAGACTCTAATAAAGTCCTAATCAAATAACTTATTGCAATCCTTAAAGTAGGGAAAGATCCCTTAAAAAGAAGAATAAATCTCTAAATAACACAATTAACATAAAATCCATACATAACATAATTATCCAAACCAATGTGATTCTCAATTTTGCCCCAACAAATTTATTTTTCTTACGAGCGCAAAGAGGGTAATTGATATTACCTTTTTAACTGACCCCAATATTGCATCTGTGAAGTCAATGTTAATCTTTGAGTACAAATGAAGACCCTCTCTCCAAATTCCTTGCTTTTCATCCACATGCAGGACAACAAAAAGATCCCCAGTAATTTGCCTGAAATAAAATGTGCCAAATTAATAGCAGTTAGATAAGTTAAACTTTCAGTGAATCTCACCCATCCAGGTTGCCAATAAAATATTTTTTTGAAAACGAGATTTAATTTTATTTAAGTAACTTCTCGTGTCTCAAATTAAGTGATATCATTTTTTATTGAGACACATGATAATCTGGAATGCTTTTGAGGTAATCCATCATTAATAGATAATCATGGTATCAGCAGATCTGGTTAATCTAGTAGTAAATTGATAATTTAGAATACAGGAATGAAATGGGACAATTAATCAAATTGGTTGTAGGAAATCTTTGGACCATTCACTTGTGACTTTATGCAAATGAGTTGGCGAGTTTGCTTAAAACTGTGAATATGGACAGAGTAATTACACATTTAATGTTGGCAAGTTGACCGTCCAGATGTAGAAACAATTTCATATTTACTTATTAAATGATAATAAAGTAGATGCTTCACAGTCTTTAATGCAAATCTATTTTCTCTTTATCAAACTGACTAACCAAAGTAGAATTCACCCAACAGCTCACTGTATAATGAAGTTGAAACATTGTTGGAAGTGAAAAATTCATAGGAATCCTTCTAACCTCTTTTTATCAAAATTCCCTTGTCCTTGAATTTGCATTGTGTCTCCATCATTGACTCCAGCAGGAATGTCCACTTCGATTGTTTCTTTGGATTGCACCTGACCACTGCCATCACACCTTCGACAGTGATCTGTGATTATTTTACCAAGGCCACTACACTTAGAGCAGGTAGAAACCTGAATATCACATGTTACAAATATCACCATGTTATGTCTCAGGTAATATAAAAATCATTGGCAACACAGTCACTCACTAATTAAATCTATTTAATTTAGATTACCTGAGACATCATTCCAAAGGGTGTTCTCTGACTTTTCATTTCTCCCCCTCTGCCACCGCAATTTATGCATTGCTTAATGCAATTCTTTGATTTGGCTCCTGTACCATCACAAGTGTCACATGTCTGAAAACAGGAAACTTCAATCTCCCTTTGTGCTCCAAATATTGATTCTTCAAAGCTCAAATTAAGGTCATATCTTCATGACAGAACGAAATAAAGTTAATGCCAAATTTTACACACATTTGTTGGAATCAAATGAAGGTCATATTTAATGGCATTTTACAGGTAGGAACATGCGCAATATCTTCCAGGGGCAATATATTCTAAGTGCAGACAAACTTTGACCATCTTCTTTCATTTAAGTGATTTCTACTTAAATCACTTATATTTGCTGAGTATTCATTTAATCAAATTATAAAAGCTCTAAATTCATAATACATTATACTAAACATCCACAGACTTTCACTGATAATTTGTTACTTACAATAATATTCCCTTGAGTAGTTATTTTATTTCTGTTAACTTTTCTCCAGTTCAACAGTTGGACATTTGGATAATTTCTATCCTTTGCCTGTAACACTCTTTTTTTATACATTATTTGTAATCTGAGTCCTACCCATGTTTCAAATTTGTGATTTCTTTGTAGTTACAGGCCTTAATGAAAGCTAAAAAAAATTCCCATCCTATGATACACAATAAGATCAATACTAAAATCCAGTTGGAGAAATAGTAAACCCTACAAAACTCTATTGGAATCTAAATTCAGACACAAAGCAGTTTGATAGTGTTATCTGGAGTTTTGGGAAATAGGGCAAAGACTGTTCAGTGCTTACTGTTACTGGATAACCAAGTTTTTTCTTGCAGCTAGCGAGCCTTTTTCAATAATCAAGTTTAGAATTCTTACAGTAAAAAGTGGTTAACTTTGTGGATTTATAGTGCTTTCTTGGAAATTAATTGTACAGCAGATAACTTTGTCTGCCTGCTATTTGGCACTTGACTCAAGGTATTTTATAATTATTATTCCAAGAGATTTGAGAGATTCATTGTGCTAGTTTTTCTTTATCTTTTATTTTATTTGATTTTGTTTCTCGACAACAACTCAATGCAAGCCTTGGTCCAACAGTAATTTTGTGCCTTCGTGATCAGAGTTAGTCACAAGTTGAAATCAAAAATCATCTTTTCATATAAAAAGGTAGGCTGCATACAATGACCCTTTCCCATTTCTTCATGTAGTGAAGAGCTTATGACACTGGGATACGTTAGTTTATTCTGGAAAATACCTCATCCTTCTGCTGGCCATTCTCTTATCTTCTGCTAGACAAAATTCTTCTAATTATACACAAGGGAAGAAAAAATCCCTTTGGGTAGGAGAATGCTCAATAAGAACAAACAAAATTTTCAAAACTCTCACTCATAATGAGTCCAGTAAATAGTTAATTCGCAGAAATTAATCAACATATTGAGAGGATAGTTACCGAATATCATGACTATGGTTTCTCTTGTAACCAAAATTGAAGTTGATGCCCCCTGCATCACCCTCTCTAAATATTCCATCAGAACGACCAAAGAATGTATCAAATAAATCAAAAGGATCCACCTGATCAATTCATAAGCCATCAACAGTAAGTAATGAGGTGGAAAAGGAAAAAAAGGGACATGTGATACTTCTGTATAAATATATCATCATATCAAAAGAGTCACCAGTTATATTGAGATTGCAAAAAGTGAAAGACATGAATATGCACACACCCCTGGAGCACCACTTGACCCTCCATTTTCTTCTTGATGACCTGACTCACCAAAACGATCATATAAAGATCTTTTCTCCTCATCTGACAGGACCTATAGTCAAAACTTGTCACCACAAAAATAAAAAGGGACAGATGAAAGTATATTACATATGCGGTTATTGTCCCTGAAGTAGTATATATGAATTTCATTAATCCAGTACTGTATCCCAGACAGGTAAAGATTACAATGCCAATGTTCAGATCATAAAAGAGTAGCAGGACAGATATTAAAAAATTAACAGTGCAAAAAAATGTAAAATATGTTCCTTAATGAATTAAAAATATGTCCTGCCTGAGCAAGCATTACCAATGATAGAAAAAGCATCATTCTAGGGCAAGACTTACCTCATATGCAGCACTTATTTCTTTGAACTTCTCCTCAGCCCCAGGGCTTTTGTTCATATCTGGATGGTACTGATCCCAAAAATTAAAAATCAAACAGTCAAAAATCAATTCTTCAAAAAGACTAAACTGTTTGATAAAGTAACATCGACCATTTTACATCTAACATGTCCCCAGATACAAGAGCTCTTTGAGGTTAAAGTGGGGACAATACTCAGGCTCATGAAGAAACATGAGCCTATGTATTGTCCATATGGCTTTAAACTTTCATGAAGGAACATGCTAGAAACAAAAAATTGAATTCTAGACAACAAGGTCATAGAAGCTCCAACATGTCATGAATCAATACTCCCAAAAGCAAGTTGTTGGGTGAAGGCAATAATGGTTTGTTAAAAGATGCTAGCAACATTAGCTGCAATCCCTAAAAGTGTAAGCTGTTGGATGAAGACGCATGTGTGATTTGTTAATTGCTTCATCATACAACGCATTGTATCAATGACTGAAATGAATAATTACAAAATTTTGTAAGTGGCACTTCTTATTCAATGAATTTACTATTAATTTTGCAGTTTCAAAAAAATTTTATCCAATAAAACGTTATTAATAGAAGGTGTATAAAAGAGTGTGTTAGAGAGTATATTACTAGCATCCCTCATGCATGGCTTTATAATAAAAAACACAGCCTTAAGTTGTATATTACTGTAACTATGAATGCACCAAATCACGTATCACATTTTCATACAAGTACTCAGAAATACCAAATTACAACTATTAATGTCAATAGAACACCTAAATATGCTGAGTTATGACATGAATTTCCCATAAACATAACAACGCATATTCCAATTACCCTAGTTTGCTCCATTTTCCCCAAAACCAAACACGACCCATTAAAATTGGCACGCAAACACGCGAGAAAGTGGGAACCTTGCGCGCCAGCTTGCGATAGGAGGCCTTGATTTCTTGCAGCGAAGCGCTGGGGCTAACGTTCAAGGTGGAATAGTAATCGGCCCCTGCTTTGGCTCTGATCAGCGCAGCACGCGAGCGATTCCTGGTTGCGGAAAACCCAATAATTGGGTTCTGAATTTTACGCAGGAGGTGGGAACCGAATGTGGCAGCAGAAAGAGTGGAAGATGATGATAGAGATGCATTGGTAAGTTTAGTGAGTGTGGAAATGGCATAAGGAAGCGGTGGAGTAGTGCGAATCAATGGCATGGGTACGGAAGAAAATTGATTCGGAATGGACGAAAGGACTAACGACAATGATTCATGAGAGAGGGTTTTAGAGGGGTTAGGGAGATAGAGGTGAAGTTCATTGATACTCTTCCATATTCGATAACAAGAAAAATATAAATAAAAAATGAAATTGATTTAAAATATAAATAAATTTTAATCTAATTTTATTATATCTGACCATTAATAATCAAACTGAGTGAGTAACAAGAAAATATGTATGGTTGTTTAGTTGGATACTGGAATATAAATTAATCAATCTTGAAAGTTAATTAAATAAGGAGTAAATGGTTGAATTTAATATAATAAGTATTAAGATATTTTTATTTTTAATATAATAAAAAAATAGTTGTAAAAAATGTTATTTTATTAATTTTATTTTTACTTTATTAATGGTCGAATAGTTTTTAATAATTAATCTTTAAGAGAAGGTTAAATTATTTATTTTGTCCAGAGAAATCTCAAATAGACAATTTTCTTTTTATTTTTATGCGTTTCAATTAAGTTTTTATTTTGAGAGATTTGATACCATCTTCTTGTTGTACTAACAAAGTTAAAGTGATGTTAGGAGTTTTTGGCTTTAATGATTTTTTTTATCTTTTTAATTTAAAAAATGTTGTCACATGTTAAATTAATAGTGGTTGGGATACATGTTACTTTTTGTCATGATTTTAGTTTGTATTTTTATAGTCTCGACTCTATAATTTTTTTTAAATCGAACAATTTTGTTTATTTCTAAATTAAAATCAAATTTGAAGAAAATTGGGAGCATTAATTACAATGTTGTTACCAATAAAAGGTTTAACGTCACATGACTAAAATTCGCTTAGGACAAATGCTTTAATTATTGAATGATTTAACGTCGAGCTAGACTTGGGTTCGACGTCTATAACTCATCTACAAATATCATCCACATGACTTCTTTTGTTTAAAAGTGTTTCTCTATTGAACACATTAAGATCCATTTTTATGTTTTCTAGAAGATTTTTCTTTCCTTCAAATTTCAGAGCATTTTTCTTCTTCAAATTGTAATTTGCCCTCTTGAATTTGAAAGTGCACATTCATCTTCAAGACTCGTCTATATGAAGGTTCACTTTCAAATTCGAAGAGAGCTAAATGTGTTTTGGAAGATAAAAATGTGATGAAATCTAACTGAAAGGAGAATCTTTAGAAAACTTAAACCATGATTCACAATATGTTTAATGGTGAAACAATTTTAAGAAATATCACTACCATCGCATAGTTTGATCTAATATAGTCTAAATGTTTATCATATTTGGATGATTCATTTTTTAAGTTTTCTTGAAGTTGTTTTTTACAATCAGATTCATAGCAAACTGATTCATTATGTGAAAAACAACTTCAAGAAACTTAAAAAGTAAATCATCCAAATATGTCAGTCGTTGTCACAGGCTGACGTCAATATACCTCAAACATTGAAGGTGATGAATGTTTACTCCACTTTAGTTACCAATACAAGTTTAGGTCAAAGTAGGCTAGGGTTTGACGTCAATTATGTCAGGGGATGGGGGCAATTAGGAGGAGCAGTAATTATGATGTTGTTACCAACGCAGGTGTTGATGTCGGATATGACTAAGCTTCAACGTCAATGTTGCTTAGGGAAAGGGGGCATTAGGAAACATTAATTACATTGTTGTTACTAACTAAGGGTTTGACATCGAACTAGGCTAGGGTCCGACGTCATATGGGTCTGAGAAGAGGGTAGTTGAGAACATTTATTACATTGTAGTTACAATAAAGGGTTTGACGTCGAGTTGAGAAGGAGTTCGATGTCAAATTGGTTCAGAACTCATATTCAAATACCATGCACATGGCTTACTTTTGTTCAGAATGGTTTCCCTATTGAACACATTAGGATCCACTTTTTATGTTTTCCTGTAAATTATTCTTTTTTTTTTCAGATTTCAAAGCATTTGTCTTCTTCAAAAAGCAACTTGTTGTCTTGAATTTCAAAGTGCACATGCATTCAATATTCATTCATCTACCAATGAAGGTGCACTTTGAAATTCGAAGACAGGAAAATGAGTTTTGGGGCATACAAATGAAATCTTATTGGAAGGGAAATTTTCAGGAAACTCAACCATGGTTCACAGTATATTTAATGGTGAAACAATTTTAAGAAATATCACTACAGTTGCATAGTTTGATCTAATATAGTCTAAATGTTTATCATATTTGGATGATTTATTTTTTAAGTTTTCCTGGAATTGTTTTTTACAATCAAATTTCAAAGCAAACTGATTCATTATGTGAAAAACAACTTCAAGAAACTTAAAAAATGAATCATCCAAATGTACGAAATGGCGTGTACATTGCCAGTGGTCGACGTCAATATATCATATGACGTCGAATAATCACTTAGTCCGACGTCATATACCTTAGAGGATTTAAAAAAGAAATCCATTTTTTCAAAACATAGGGTAAAAGATGAAAACAAAACCAAAAGAAATACATTATAACAAAAGAACCAGAAAAAGAACCACGGGTTATGTAAAATGGAGAAGGTTTTTGAAATCCAGATTTGTTAACTTTTTGCTCTGGATTTCCATCATACCTTCAAGTTTTACAAAAACTTTTCATAATGAGGATGAACCAATGACAAAAAAAAATGTCTTGCTTTTGTGAACTTAAAGGAGTTAATAGAAATTCAGAGAAAAAAAGTTAACAAAATGATTGTTGGTTACGAAAGCTATGTAAAAGTTTTGTGAATGGAGGTGTAGGGTTTTCAAAGGATTGTAAACTTTATTTAAAGTGAAACTATGGGGCAACAAAGGAGCGTCTCATATTCATTTATTTTGGTATGGGTCTGTTGTTGCCTAAGCGAACATTATATGTTTAGTCAAGATGCAATTTAACGTCGTTTATGGGTATCGTCAGACGTTATTAGTAAATACATATCGATTGGGAGGCCTAAACGACATCTAATTATTGCATTTATTTTAATCTATATCACCGGTCATTTTTAACGTTGTCTATTTTGTTATTAAATGTTGAACGCGTGATGTTATACATTATTTTCGTACCAGTGTATATCATTCTCGGTCATAAGCTAAATTTAACTAACCAAACTTTATCTAAAGTCTCGATCACCAAAAGATTAAGATTAACAAGGATTAATATCATATATGTTGGAATACAAGCAAAAATCAATCATCAAATAATACAAGAGATAAACATAAATTTATATACATATAAAAATATCTTTATTAAATTTATTTTTAAAGTAATAATAAAAATGTAAATCCTGAAAACTTGAAGTAGAACGGATAATTTCTTACTACGACCAACCTACAAAGACTTGGCCTAATATCTTACTATTGTATTTAAATATCTTACTATTGTATTTAAATTACTTTATCTGTTAACTTTTTTTAATTATTTCATTTTAAAAAATAACCTGAATAGCCCCTTTTTATAAATAAATTGCGTAAATATGTACTTAATTTTCTTCTTGTCGGCTTTTTCTAGAAGGCGAGAACCGAATGTTGTGGTGCAAATAAATAAATATTTCGTTTTAATTTTCTGAATTGTTATTTTTCTTGGAAACTGCATAGGCATTCCTGGAGTCAATAGTTTATTTCCAGTGTACCAGAAAGTGGCTATTTTTTTAAAACAAATTAGGTAGTTAGAAAATATATAAACATACCTTAAACTCCAAGTTTCAATTTGCATAAACAAAGTTGGTCTAAAAAAATATTGTACCATCTAATATTAAAATAAATTAAAGTATGTACATAGTAAATAAATCCTCAGTATTTTTTAGAGAGAAATGATTAAATTATTCAATAGATCTTGAAACTATTATTTTTTTAGTAAACTTAATTATTTTTTCAATCGAGTCTGTGACTTTGTTCTAATATATCTTGCTGTTTAATTTAGAAATATATTATATTGATAAAATTAATGCAATAGCTAGAATCTCATGACCATTATTCAAATCCATATCTTTAAAAGTTTAAGCTTCCTAGTTTTGCTGTTTTCTTCACATCCCATTACTATTTTATTCTTCTAAGTTTCATTGTTACTTGTGAACCAAACCATTGAAAAGTTCTTCACTTGGCCTTCAAAAGTCAATCTCTCTCTCTGCATTTGCATTGTATTATGTAAGAAAACTCTCAGAAATAACCTGAATCAGTGACAAAGCCACACCAGAACCATCAATGGTTAACTCCTTCAAATACCCTTAGAAGCAAAAAATTGTTAAACCATCTTTCACCAATCACCTTAGAAACCTTAGAAAATCAGTGACACCATGTGTTGCAGAGACCGCTGCATACGTTGCATTTGCTGCACATTCATCACCCTCGTATTGCTGTTCATAGTTTCCTCAATCATCTTCTGGATAATCATCTCTCCATCAAACGTGAAGTTCCATGTAACTGATGCCTCCCTCACACAATTCAACCTCACAAACAACAACACCTTGTATTACAACTTCAAGGTCAACGTCACAATGAGAAACCCCAACAACAACATCGTAGTGTACTATAGGAGGATCAAAGCGATAGCTTGGTACAAAGACAATGATTTTGGTCGGGTAACCTTAACACCCTTTGACCAAGGCCACAAGAACACCACCGTCCTTCAGGTATTGTTTGAAGGGCAAAGTTTGCTTAAGCTCAGACGTCAACAACTTGGTGAGTATAAAGAAGAGACAAGTGTCGAGGTTTACAATGACATGGCTGTGGATTTTGATTTCAGAATCAGAGCCAAGTTTGGAAAGTTCAAGAGTAGTCGTTTCAATCCTCCCATCGTTCAGTGTCGGCGTTTGAGTGTTCCTTTGATTTCTAAGGGTAAATCATCACCTCCTTTTAGCGTCAGAAACTGTAGAGTTGGTCGTTCTTTCTTTGTTGATCGTGATGCTGAACCTGAATGAAACTTCTGTATATAACACCCTATATTGTCAATTAATTTGTTCACATTTTTCATTACCTTATCTGCAAAGTTATCAGAAGTGTTACATGTTTATCTATATAAATATAGAAACAGACATAAATATATAGTTAATGCATAACGAAAGCAAACATGTATATCCAAATAAAGATTAACCGATTGAAAGGCAAACCAAATTTTTTCATATTTTTTTTTATGTAATTTTAGAGGTAAAAATCCATTATGGTGGCTTTCTAAACTTGCCTATTTTATGGAGCACTTTGATTTGCATCATGCACACACGCACCCCATTTGCATAGAATTTGACATGGATTTCACTTGGCCATAAACTAAATGTATGACCAATCAATTAATCTTTATCTTCCTATGATGTTTTGAAAAATGTTAATGAATGATTTTCAAAGTACATTATTATAGAAATTTTTTTTATACCAGTTAAAAAAGATTTTTCATACCAATTTTCGAACCAAAATAGAATTAAAAAATATAAAAACTATTCGATTTTATACCAATTCTAGAACCTATATAAAAAGTCCATTTTTATACCAATTTGTAACTGGTATAGAAAGTTCGTTGAGGGCAAGATAAACTTGTAAATGATCCAGATTTTTTATACCTTTTTGTTAACTAACATGTATAAAAAGTTTGACATTCTATACAGGTTGGAGTGTTAACTGGTATAATAAGCTTAATTTTTTATACTAGTTAAGGCCTCAACCAATATAAAAAAAAATCTTAACGAGTATAGAATGTCACTTTCTATACTGGTCCAAACATTAATCAGTATATTTTTAGTAGCGTGTTTATATGTATTACTTACCATATACAAACCTGCATAAAATTTAGACCACAACAGTCTAAAACATCCCAAGATAGCATATAAAAGAAACTAAATAATGACTATACTTCCTACTATTTACATATAAAATAATGAATATATTTAATATTTACACAAAACCTTAGAAAATACTTAACATCATCTTCAATAAACACTTAAAAGGAACAAAGCACATTACTTATGAACTTCCTTTAGGATCTTTTGCTCCATGAGAGACGTGTCACCGAAAATCTACACAATAAATATTTTGAGTCAACTTATAGTGATAAATACTTAAGATGTTAGTTATAAAATGTTCACATTACCAAATTCCATAAGTTAAGAACATTTGCGGATATGATTTTCTACATATGCCTCATCACATAATATTCGCACTCAAAGCTCTCCGATTGACGTGAACACTACAAGTTAAATTCATAAAATATCATAAACTTTATAATTGTATTTCAATCATCTAAAAGATTAACTGCTTATAGTTGGCGCAATGAACTCCAACTTCTTTCTAGAGGTGATATGTGTTCTTTACAACCTCCAATAAATCTCAACCGTTTGTAAAAGTTAAATGTACATTGAAATTTGTATATAAAACTTAGTAAACTAAATTATGTGTACACATCAAATAAATTATTAAAAACTTATTTTATTAATGTATTTTTATTTGTCAAAATCTCAAGTTTCTTGTGTAATGAACACAAGAGAACCACATGTTTGTGTCAAATAAGTTTTACATAAATAGAATTTAATTTATAAAAACATACTAATCGGGTAAAATTAATGTTAATGAAAATAATCAATTATTGTTTGAATTAATCTATGCATTTCTCTTCTCTTTTCTTCATAATTCTAACTCAATCAATGTTTAACTTGAACAGGGACCATACTACTGTGGAGTTGGTGCTGATAAAGCCTATGGTCGTGATATTGTAGATGCACATTACAAAGCTTGTGTTTATGCAGGAATTAACATTAGTGGCATCAATAGAGAGGTTATGCCAGGTACAATCAGAAATTTAAATACTTAAATTGTAGTGACTGATAATAGTGTTATCAAAGCATTTCCATGGTGTGATTTAATGAACAAACTTATCTTTTTTGGAAAACTAATGAGTCTTCTATTTATTACTACAATGTGATTGGCTTTCATTAAAAATTAAAAATATTTAATAATTTTATGCTTATTTTGTAGAGGGAATTCCAAGTTGGTCCTTCTGTTGGAATCTCTGCTGAAGATGAAGAGTTATATATTTGAGTTATTATTGTTTGAAATGTATGATTTTCTGAGAGATGTAATGAAAGAGGGTGGTTATGGGGTGATTAAGAAGGCCACGGAAAAGTTTGGATTGAGACACAAAAGAGTACATTGCAGGATATGGAAAAGGTAATGAGAGTCGTCTAACTGGAAAACATGAAACTGCAGACATCAACACCTTCTCTTGGGTAATTCATCATCTTTTGGTATCTTATGATGTTTTATGAGATTAGCAATTAATAGTGGAAACAAGGATCCTTGTGTAGTCACCTCCATGATTGAAGAGACCACAATCCTCTGGAAACCATGAACACGTGTTTAGACCACCCAAGGAATTGTTGTTTCCTGACGTCTTTTAAGCCTCACTTTGTCCTTTGTATGTTTGAGAATGACTTCACCAATAATAACAAGAATTGATTCTTGAGTTCACACTTTAGACATGTACTCTTATATTACATTAGTTATTTTATTCTAACAAATTTAGTGAGGTAAAATAAATTAGACCAATTACAATGTTCTTATCAAAATGCCATTTGCCTTTGACCTATATAGATGAATTGGGCATGGTACATAAAAAAAAATAAACAAGATTAAAATTGTATATTGAATTAAAAATATAATATTTCTTTTTTTCACCCATCAGTGGATTCTGGACTTGGAATGAATGGATAACTTGTGTCAAAAAGCTCAATAGAATATGACAAAACAAAGTTTGATAATAAAATTTGAAGTTTATCTGTAGAACATGATACGCCAAATGTATGCATAAATGAACTGTTTGCTCTGCTACACAATTTTATTTTGTTCATATGTGCAGGAAATGATTAAATGAACTTACCTGCATTCCAAGAATTTAGTGAATGAATATTGTGACTAGTTTTAAGTCTCTGCAACAGATTTGACGATGTTTATACACAGCACGTGAATTGGAGTGATAAAACACTGTCAGATATATAAGACAGTAACATATAGGCTATCATAATAGATGTAAACTATATATGCAAGAAGCATAAAAAAAACATATCTAGAATATGTGGGACAGTCCCAGACTCTTGAAGTCCACTTCTCATAAAAAAAAAAGACAATTTCACACTTCTATTGAAGTCCCAGTCTCCCAGGGTCTATCAGGGGACTGGTACAGCAGACAATTTCATACTTCTTATGCAGATTATAATCCCACAAAGAATTGTATCTTTAAAATGCCACCTTTTACTGTTTCTTATGATACAATGTTAATTTAATTGCAGTTTTCTTATGAAACTATCAATTGGAGGCACCTCATAACTTAATAAAGTGATAACAACTCAACTATTTTGGAATCATACACACACGAAGGATGGTGTGATACTGTAGGATTTGTTGAAGAAGTTCAGGGTAAAATATTCAAGAGACTGGATCCTGCAGCAAAAGCCAGAAAGTGTAATGGCATATGCTACAACTTGATAACAAAATATTCAAAACTTCAAGGTAAAAAAATTAGAGTTGGAAGAGACACAGAAAAAAGGTAAATGCTACTTTGAGGACAGAAAGCCTGCTTCTAACATGGATCCTTATGTTGTCACCACCATGATTAGCAATTAATATAGTAGACAATTTCAAACTTCAAGGTAAAATATTTAAGAGACAGGGACGCTGCAGCAAAAGCCAGAAAGAGTCATTGCATATGCTACCTATAACAAAATATCCAAAATTTCAATTACATGGATTTACCGGTGGGCCCTCTTTTCAATGGATTGAACCTTATTTACACAATTTGAAACTTGTCATGACTTATATCAATATCAATAAGATAATATAGTATGATAGTACACTTCCTCAATTACTTAAGTGGTAGAGAACCTCTAGAAAGTTAAATAAACTTGAAAAAAAAAACCATTAGAATTTATGGAGGGAGGTCAGGGTTTTGGTCTTGACAGACAATGCAATGCAATGTAAAAAAACAGTTAAAAATTTTCAACTCTTCACATCCAAATCGTAGCAAGACAAGCATCAATTGCGTAAGGTCACACTTCTCTGATCAAACAGACACAACATATACAAACCATTCAAGTACAATATGTAGCAAGACATAAATGTAAATAAATACAGAAATGAGATTTCACCTTTTATCATGTCAACAAGCCTCTAAATATCATTTCACGAAGAAATGTCTCTGCCTTATCATTCTCATCCCTTCCAAAAAGGGTTGTAATCATTATTTCGAAAGTTATTGCATCAGGTAAGCAGCTATTGTCTTCCATTTTGGACCATAAGGTAAATGCCTCATCAATTAAACCTTTTTTACAAAGACCATTGATCATAATAGTATAACTATGTACGTCTAAAGGATAGCCTTTAATTAAAAGATCTTGGAAGGTCTCTTGTGCCTCCTCAAGTCTTCCTCCTCTGCACATTCCATCAATAAGTATGTTCCAGGTGTACATATTCGGCTGAATTCCCTTTTCCATCATTGTCTTGAATAACTCAAATGCCTGGTCTAGATGACAGTTTTTACATAAAGCATGTATCAAGCAATTGTAAGTGATTACATTTAATTGTTGATTTCTATCATGCATCTCATCAATAAGATCCCAAACATTAGCTATTCTCCCAGATTTGCATAAACCATTTATAAGAGTAGTGTAAGTCACTGTATCAGGAATCATGTTCCTCTTTTGCATTTTCTGAAAGAGATTCATGGCTTCATCCACTTTTTTACTCTTACATAATCCATTAATCATGATATTGTAGCTTTTAACGTTAGCAGTTACTCCAATTTGGGTCATAGCATTAAATATGTGTTTAGCACTTTGCACCTCGCTAACTAAAAAATACCCATCCATCAAAGTGTTAAAGTTAACAATATTAGGTTTGACACAAGCTTTTACCATCACACCTAGCGCATTCTTAGCTTCTTTTATCTTTCCTTCCTTACATAAAGCATCAATCATTATATTATAGATATAAACATCAGGCATGATGTTATTTGACATCATTTTAATAAGCAAATGATAAGCCTCTTTTGCAAGATTATCTTTGAATAGAGAGTCAATTATAGTGGCGTACATTACCACATTAGACTTACATAATCCGCCTTCTATTATTCTGAGCAACTTGATGGCAGCTTCGGTTTCTCCTATCTTGCACAAACCATTGATCAAAGTCCCGTAACTAAACTCGTCCAGTAGAAATCCTTGTGCTACTACCTTGTCACGAAAGGTAAGTGCTTTCTTGACCTCACCATTGAGACAGAGACCTTTCATGAGGGTATTTAAGGTTATGACACTTGGATGATAACCTCGTTTGAGAATCTTGGCAAGAATAGAGAAAGAGAAGGGCATCTGGCCTAAGTGGCAGAAACAATTGATGACGATGTTGAGAATGACAAGATGACTCTTAATTCCATTGAGCTCCATTTGCTTAAAAAGGGAAATAGTTGTAGAATAGTGTTTCATCCTTGTAAGAGATCCCAAAATCTGCCCAAATGCGTAGATGGGAGGAATAGGACGCATATGAAACATGCGACGAAATTGAGAGACGACGTCGTGAACATTGTCATGGTCAGGTGAAGGAGGCTGAGAGTGATAGTGTAAGTGAAAGGAAGAGAAGGAAGAAGGGTTTGGAAGAAAAGGATAAAACTTGGACATGGAATAAGAAAGACATAACCTTAACTTTGGTATTGGGAGTGACATTGTTAGGTTAAAGATGAAGAGGAGTGTTATGCTGTTTGGAAACAAAAGATTGGGTGTTAGTGTTTCTCTAAAACGAGTGCGATGCTGTGCTGAAACAAAAGATTGGGTGTTAGTGTTTTTCTAAAAACACATAAATAGAGTTGAATTTTCTGTTTCTCACGGCTTCTCTCAATCCTTTATATACTATTTTTTTAAAATTTTGTGCATTATCTAAGATTCATACTTATTTTTATATATTTATAATAAATAGTTTTAGTTTATGAACTATATTATAATTAAAATATATGAAAGATGTTTTTAAGAATATATATTAGATATTATATTTTATATTTTGTAATTGATAATTTATATTATGATATAAAGTTACTTTGAAATGAAACTAAAATTTATAATCAACAGAGAAATTATATATACTGATAGAGAAAATAGATAGATAAATTAGATAATTATTATTGGATTAAACTGTCACTATATGAAAAACATCTTGAAAACTTGAAACAAAACCATCCCTGAGAACTCTACAAGAAAATGGAACTCTAAGTAATCGTGTAACTGGATGTTTATCTAAATGGAATATACAATTTCAGCTGCTGGTCAAAAGAAACAAAACAATGAACTAAAACAATCTAAATAAGCTACTAATATTCATAATTAAAACTGCAAATTCAAAAAGCAACATAGTAACTATAAACTAAAACAGAAAATATGAAAGAAAGTGGTAAAAGGAATCATCAAAACGGTCTTCAGAGTCACATGAAATCTATAATGCAATTAGATTCTTAAAGCTTTTAAATTAACAAATAAATGAAAAACTACAAAAGTAGCAAAGTTCAGATCAGCTAAAGAGAATTTCAAAGTAGTAAAGCAAAACAGTAAACAGACTTAACAAAACAGAAAAAAAAAAAAAAATTTATCCCTTCCCCACACTTGAATTAAGCATTGTACTCAGTAAACTGAAAACAATAAAGAAGAGAAAAGAAGAAACATATCTAAACTATACTAATGTAAAAAAGGAAAATTAATCTAATCTAAACTAAAAACAACATAGTTGTACCGTACAGACCGGGCAATCCAAAAGTCGTACCGTCCGAAAGCAGCGTCCAGACTTGGGAAACTATTGGCGTTTCTTCCATCCTTTTACTCCCGACAGCATTGTTTGTTTGTATAGATGTTCATCTCACACGCTGTGTAACTCGACCGTCAGTTCCTCCACTCTTGTGAGTAGTGCTGGTTTACTGTACGGGTGGCGGATCAAGACCGGCCGGTTGCCAAACCAGGTCGTTAAGACGGAGATTAAGGTAAATAAGGATTAGAGCTATTGGGCTGGAATTGGGCCGTGATTAATTTTTCACTAATCCCAATCCCACAACAAATACAGGTTAGAGGTAAGTGGTAGATAGGTTGCATTTACTACGCATTCATTATTGTTTCATCAAATCGCCAACAGTTTCCGTACTGACTTTGGCATCGGAGAATCTTTGACAGGTTCTCCAGGACGACAAGAGTGGACAACGAAATTTGGAACGAGACCGAAATGTAAGAAGACAAGAAGACATTGTGGAGGCATTTGGTAACTTAGCTCCCAAATAACTGAAACAATAGCCAAACTCAAACTGAACACGAATCAAAATTTAGATTTGTTTATTTTGATATAGTACAATCTATTTCCTATAATCCTATTTATTATTCTATATTTATTATCCTTAATTACACAAGCTAAAGAAAGTATCAAATATCTACTACTACTACAAATAAATATTTGAAGTTGACTTGAAGCTTTGCTTCCTTATGCTCAGCCACTCTGGCCAATCTGCCCATGCGTTTAGTTGATTCTTCATTGCGCTTTGCTGTAGCAGCAACAACACTTAATCTAGTATAAGTGGTGCCTATATGTATTGAAGAGAAAAAGCAGAATTATCAGCATCAACACTAAGGCTAGTGAAAACTGCTCTAGGAACACTATTAAAATCATAAACAATAAGAGTATCTGCTCCAATATGATAAACTTCAAAAATGAAATCAGCATCACATTAATATTAGCAGTATTAGAACTAAAATCCAAATCTGCAACATAAACTTTCAATGACAAATGCTGAAGCAAGAATATTAAAATGAGAAGAAATATCAGTTAAATCAATAATAGCAACAGTGTCAGTGATAGGCTTCCTAAGATCATAACACACATGATCAACAACATAAAACTTACGATGAACTCTTTCAAAATCATAAACTGATCCCATTGTTTGACGCGTATTAGTAGCTTGTCAAATCAATGCATAAAAAACTCATTTAATATGTATTGTTAGACTCTTCCGTTAATATGTATTGTTGGACTGTTTAATCAGTTTATAGACACACTCGTATAACATGTATTGCTATATTTGTCTAATTTGTGTATGTTCATACTTGTGTAGTGTGTATTGTAAGACTCATCTAATTCATGAGTGAACAAACTCATCTAATGTGTATTAATAAATTCGTTTAATGAGTGTATAGACAAAGGTTTTTCCAGTGTTTGTAACTAGACTTTTTTAATCGATGTATGGAAAAAGTCATCTAATCAATGTATCTTCGAACTCGTTTAATTTTTATTACAAGATTTGTCTAACCAGTGAATGGACAAACTCATTTAATATATTAACAAACTAATATGATTTGTGTATAGATAACTTTAGTACTTTTTAACTTGTTTGATTAATATATAAAATTACTTGTCTAATGTTTTTTTTGTTATACTTATATTAATAATATAAACACACTCGTCTAATATGTATTATTATAAAATATAATCAGTATATTAACAAATTCATTTAACATTTTCTTTGTATCAGTGCATTCATACACGTGTTATGCAACACTTATGCATCACACAGACCCCATTTGCATAGAAATTGACATGGATTTCACTTGGGGGCACAAATTAAATATATGACCAATATATTAATCTTTATCTTCTTCTAAAGTTTTGTATAATGTTAATGAATGATTTTCAATGCAGTTGGAACATTTGATGTGGACATGGTCGAGCTTAAAATGTCAAAGATGGAATACTTAATTTGTGTAGGGTTTTATACTAAACGCGTTCTACGCAAAAAAATATTGACCCATTTACACATTTTTTTATGTTTTTTCAAATGAATTTATTCTAACATAATAATCCATTATACATATGTTTATTAAAAAAAAATTCAATTGTATTTCAAAGTTTATTTTTCTATTTTATTAATTAAATTATTTTGAGTTATTATTAAGAAATATTTATTTTGGAAGCTAGAACGAATATTTGGTTTCACTTATTCATACCTACCTCCATATTAAACCTTTTTATCTATTATATATCAGGAATTTCTACAAGGCCTAGCTATAACATTTATTGACTTAGATGGGATACATGTCAAATTTTTGCTAATGAAATTTTGGAACTATTGCTCGTAATAAAAAAACCAATAACCACAAACTCTGAATCTTAAATATAGCACAAATAACTAAGTATTTGTGACCAAAAACTAAAATGTTAAATTAATCTCCAATTTTTAATCACAAACCAGAGTAGAAAATGGATCTGCAAAATTACAACATATATTCCTAAAACTAGATGGTATATATATATATATATATATATATATATATATATATATATATATGACCTATTAAATAATAAAAAAACCCTTCTGTTTTCTTACATAAAATATTTTGTACTTTCATCTCTCCATGTATTTGTTAACCAAACAATTGAAGAAAATTTTTTCTTTAGGATTGTTTCTCCTTCTACTTCTCCACATTTTTCTTTTTCTTTTCACATTTTATTAAATTTTAAAATTATCTTTTATATTTTTAAAAAAATTATATTTTACGAATTTGAATTATTTTCAAACAAATTTTAAAATTTATTAAAAAGATCTTTCAACAAATTTCAAAATTCATTAAAAAAAATTTTCAATGAATTTCAAAATTTATTGAAAAAAAAATGATATTAAATTTGGAATGTAAAGATTCAGAAAAACATGTGTGAAGGTAATGAAAGAAACAGTTTTTTGTTTATTCAGCTACAAAAGTCAATGCCTGTCTGTGCACTTGTATTTTGCAAGGAAATCTCCAAGAATAAGATAAAGAAACAGGCCATCAATGGCAACTGCTACAAATACGCTTATGTTCATCAACCACTTACACCTAATAATCAATCATCATGTGTTTCAAACCACGCTGCGGCTTCTGCTACATCTTCCTCACACTTTACACCCTTATGTTCATGTTCATGTTTTCCTTTTTCCTCTTCTGGATAATCATATCTCCTTCAAGTGTCAAGTTCCACGTAACCGATGCCTCTCTAACACAGTTCAACCTCACCACAAGCAACAACACCTTGTATTACAACTTCAAGGTCAATGTCACAGTGAGAAATCCCAACAACAACATCATAGTGTACTATAGGAAGATCACAGCAATAGCTTGGTACAAAGATAATGCTTTTGGTTGGGTGAGCTTAACACCCTTTGACCAAGGCCACAAGAACACCACCTTCCTTCAAGCAGTGTTTGTAGGGCAGAGGGTGATTAAGCTCAAAGCTAAACAACTTGGTGAGTATAAAGAGGAGACAAATGCTGGGATTCACAAGGACTTAGCTGTGGATTTTGATCTTAATATCAGAGCCAAGTATGCAAGGTTCAAGAGTTCTCGTTTCAATCCACCCATTGTTCAGTGTCGTCGCTTAAGAGTTCCTTTGATTTCTAATGGCAAATCAGCATCTCCTTTTTCTGTCACCAGATGCAGCAGTGCCTATTTCTTTTCTGATCGTGATGCTGATGCATAGAAGAAACCTCGTATGAAAACTTAGTTTTACATACACAGTTTTTCCATTCACAAATCTGCAGAGATTTGTAAATTAAATGTTACCAAGATATATCTATGTATACAAAGAAAAATACTGTCATGTGTACCAAAATAAAGAAAATTTTTCTTCTGATGTACCACTTTGATTTGCATATGTAATATTCTGTTGATCTAGTACTTCCTAGTCTGTGCTTGATCACTATGTTTATTTATATAACTTGAGCATTGTCTTCCCTGGCTTAATGGAAATTAGAATTAAGTTGACATGTTCCTTAAGATTAAAGATCTGTACGACATTAATGAATGGTTTTGGAAGTTAGAACATCTGATAAGGACATGTTGTATATTGTGTTTGAAATGTCAAAAGTGGAATAATTAATGTATTCACATTGGAACCAATAGGTGTCTCTTGCTATGCACTAATTGAACTATATTTTATAATATTTTACATCTGATTGTATTTGAATTTTATATTTAAATATTAATTATTTCTGTTTTTGACAATAATCGCGATCCACCTCATATATATAATTTTACAATAAGAGCTCTGAAATTCTTAATTATTTTAAAAGTTAATCACAAGTCCTTATCTCAAAATATTCTCTGTCATATAAAAAAGTGTACTCAATTTTATTCTAGTTTCAACTCTGAACTGAAACACCCACAGGTGATGCTAATTAATATGAACACTAAGAGATTCTAATAGGCATTTTTTTTTATATCTATTTTATCTATATTCAGGTGCCTAAGCATTGAACCTACCATCAAAATTTAGGACACACGAATGCACGGTGTTGAGGGACAAGGTGGAAGAATTGGTACGAGCGTCCACCTAAGAGAGGAAGATCTGAACAAATCGATCAGAGGAATGATCGGCGTTCGGGTCACAGACGTAGCAGAAGCCAGAGTCATGACTGACCGCTGCGCGACATGATTAACAATTTCTTGAGAATTTGCTGGAGGAGGGTCGTCGGCCTCGGCAAGAAAAAGGAGCTTGAGGGAGTTAGAAAACGTTCATAGGGTAGATGTGAGGAAACACTCAATGCCATCAATCACGTTTACTGATGAAGATTTCCATGCTCCCGATCCCGAGCAAAACGATCCTATGGTAATCACCGCTGTTATCGCTCGGTACAACGTTGAAAAAGTTTTGATTGACCAGGGAAGTTCAGTTAATATACTGTACTATAAGATGTTTCAACAAATGGATTTATCAAAAGACTTGATAGTACCTTATAACGAGCAGATTGTGGGATTTGTAGGAGAAATGGTGGATACAAGAGGGTACGTGGACTTGAGAACGTGCCTAGGAACCGAGTGGAGTACTAAGGAGTTGAGGACCAGATTTTTGTTGGTGGAGGCTAGTACTCCTTACAATGTACTTATAGGCAAACTGTAACACCCCGAAATTTGGTGTTACGTCGACTAAATTTTTTTTTTTT